TGCAATGAGTGACTTAGCTGCTGTTATTATCGGTGCCCAGGATAAAATATAAAAGCAATCAAGAAAGTGTACTCACATATGTTAGAGGAAAAGGCAAGACTGGGCCTAAATGAAGGAGAAATATCAGTGGAGATAAAACCAAGTAACTTGAAAATTGCCTAAATAGTGTTCTATAGAGAGTGAATTTCTGACCCGCCTACCTAGGCAACAAAGTAAGTTGCCACTGTTAAACTTACAACACATCAGTCATTCTACCACTGGAGGGAGTCTGGTCACATATCCTTTGATGTAACTTTCACTCTAGTAACTTCCTGGTCTTCCCTGGGAATGAATTAGAACCCAAACAAGTATATGAATTGATTTAACACAATCTGATGGTTTTCAAATTTTTGTTTTAGTTTTTATTTTATTTTTATTTTGTTTCCTATTCACTAATATCTCTATAGTCATATTTGGGTCAAAGAAATTAATCCCCACGCTACATGTCCCAGTACATGTCTATCCTTGGAAAAAGTTAATAAAGAAAAACATTGTAAATTAAGAACAAAGAAGGGCTCTAAGGCAAATACCTACACAAAACAAGCATCAAGGTTACAAAGCACAGAAAAATAGCAAACAGCAGATTTGAACGAGAAACTTAAAACAACTTTTAGGTCTAAGGTGATAAAGATATTACTGATCGGATGGTAAAAGAGAAATAAAAGATAATAGTACTATAACTGATTTCAAAATTTACTATTCTTTAAAATTCTGAATTTATAGATTCTATTAATGATTCATGAATTTGAAGTGATTTCCTAACTAAATAACATGTAACTGGAATTATGAAAAATAACAACGACCTAGACACTAGCAAAAAAAGAAATTTTAAAAAGCAGTGGTTCAACTCAAGAAGTTATGTGGATAATGTTCCATTCACAATAATAACTATTACTCTATATTTTGCATTAATATAAAGACTGGTAATAAATTCTATGTAAGTAATACTTATTTCAACAATCCCACAGGATTGATATTATTATACCCACTTTACATAACAAAGTTTGAGGCTAAAACAAGTTAGGTAATTTGTTTAAGGTTACATGGCTTTCAAGAGTCAATATTCTAACAAGGCTGTTCTAATCTAAAATGGTAATATCACTATGCTACATCGCATGTCAGTGAGATTGACTAATGACTACCTTACATTCTTGTAATAAAGTCTATTAAAGGTTACAGTGATGGGTATTCCTCTTAGATGTCTGTTTCAGAAAACGTCATTAAGGATTATCTAAAATCACTGTGCTACTAAGCATTCCTGTCACTTTATATTTCCAAAGTTAAAATTTGTTGAATTCACATGACAATAGCAAAAATAAGACCTTAATTGATTTATAATTTAAAGAAATATTTAACTCAACATTCAAAGGAGTTTATCTTTTTAAATATGTAAAATATATAAAATCTTTTATTCCCCTATTTTTTTCCACATATTGTTAGAAACAAAGGGAAATCCATCAGCTTCTGTGTAATTTCTTTCCAATATGTTTCCTTGCTGACTACATCATAAACCCTATAGTTTATACCATATTTGGGCAGTCATAAAGTGCCCTACTCATAGAAATAATGTTTGTTAAAGCTATGAAGACTTGAGGGTATATTTAAATGCTTTAAAACAAATTAATTTTGTATTTTCTTCCTTACCATAACAAAGCTGGAGGGAGCTTAGATATATGTAAGGCAACATGTAGATAGATCTTTCATGTTCAACAAGGAAGAAAAAACATATGTGTGTGTGTCTGATTAAAACATGAAAAGCACAAGTAATGTAAAATTCTGTGTGTGCAGTGGGGGCTGCTTTGTCTCGTCACAGGTCAGTGAATGTCTGAAGTATCTATCGAACTGTAAATGGGCTCCCATATTATTAATGCTTCAAAACAAATTGTTTTTCTCCAATTTTTTTGAAAAGTCATAATAAAAGTACCTCATGTATGCAACTTGAGTATACTTCAACACAGCAGAAATGGAGAAACAGAAATACTCTACTTGCCATAGGAATAGAAACCTATTTTAGATCTACAGTATATTTTCAGAGTAACACCTGGGCAAGGACCAGGTACTGACAACCAAAGTACACATGCCTAGGAAAGACTATCCATGAGGTAGAGAGAGTGTGTTTGTGTAATAACTGTCTTGCTTAATTAAAAATCCAATTGTATGACCATGTGGAATCGAATCCATATTCCTCAGAAACTATTTATTTTTAGAAACTATGAAAAAAATGAATTACTGCTGATAATGTAATCATCAGCTCATAGGAAAATAGGCAAGTAACACACAAAAACAAACAAAAAGACCCAAGGAAACATAAGAGATATACAATTATGTTCAGCAGCAGGCATAGCTCTTGGTTGATACAGTATGAAAACATTATAAAATTAAAAATATCTGAGTGAAGAAGGTAAAAGAAAATGTACATTTAACAACCATACTATACTTTCCTCTATTTTATTCCACTTCCAGAGAATTAATGTTTTTCTCATTTTTTCATCACCAAATTAACAGTAGATTAAAATAAAGTGAGAAAAGAGCAAACCAAATATAGTCTATCATAAATTATGAAATATAGCTCTTATTAGGTACTTCAATAGATCATCTGTCCCATATTCTGCCACATCCTTTTCTATGTTACGTGTTTATAGAGGTAAAATAATGACACTTGAGAGGAAAGAAAGTGAAAGGAAGTGAAAGAAGGGAAGCAAATGGAGTAAAAAGCATCTAGCTGAAAATTTCTCAATATAAAATGAGAATGAGTAAGGTCTGATTAACAAATTTAATGCAACATTGTATACACTGTTATATCAAAAACAAACAGCATTATCTCCCCTAAATTATTCCTATGAAGCCAAGTTAATATTTTTGGAATTGACATGTAAGATAGGAAAACAAAATAAGCATTTAACAACATCTCTTAAAAAAAAAAAAGTATTTCCAAGTTTTATACATCTTCTAGTAGAAGTTGGCTCTTTGTATTTGTTGGTATATTCTGTTTTATAAAATAAAACCCTATTTAATTAGTCTGTTAAATAACTTGGAAGTCTGCAAATGGAAATTTTCATAGATATTAGTGCCAGCACCCTCCCCAAAATTAAATGTTACATAATTTGTTCATTTTGTGGGATTCCTAATTTGAAAGGAAACAACTAAAAAATATTATCAGAATAAAACAGCTACTTCTCTAGGAGATCACGGTAAACATAGCATTAATTTTCACACTCTATTAACTCTGTGAACTTCATAAAAAAAGTTATAATTTTTCCTAATATTTTTGAAACACGTGGTAAATGCAGTTTTAAGCATTCAGATTACCAAGTTCTGAGAGCAACAATTAATGCCTAGTTCCAATTAGGACAAGAATGAGCTTTTGATATATCATTGCAATAAATAAAAATGAAGTCTACTTTTATTAGTCTTGTTTTTCTCTCCAATCTAAGAAAATAAAAATATTTACATTTTACAATGGTTACATTATAAAAAGCCATTTCATGAAAGTACAAACTAAAATCCAAATGATTTTCTGTTATTAAAAATCTTTCTAATCTAATGCAAGCTTACATATGAAATACCAAAAGGATAAATTTTTTTAGATACCACAAATATGTGCACTTACTACCATGGTGACTAAAACAGTCTAAGAATAAAGGATATACAAGCTGCCTTTGCAAGTGTGTATATTTATTCCCATACTACACCTGTTTCAGAAATTAAAGTGGCTCTGGTTTCAAAAAGTTTGAATTCTGGTTTCAGAATTATTAAATACAAATTTATATTAATAAATATAAAAATAAATTCGGTGCTCACTTGATATAAACGTGCTGAATAGCAATGTCTACCCACGTTATTACCATTTAAATTATTTTGGAAACAAGACCTCTGCTCCCTATTTGGATTACCTAATAAATTTTATGACCTTATTGTGAATGTATTAGTATCTGTACATAACTTTGGTTAAAAAATGTTTTGCAGTCATTACCTCCATATACAGTTAATTTCATTTACAGTGAAAAAGTATTCGGGGCCCTCTTGGCAACACGTTCACTGTGTTTCCTTTGTCAGATGTAGAATTTTACAATTATTCAGCCAACCAATTACTAATCAGACGATTTCTTTACAAATGAAGTTTTATTTCACATTACCGGTATAGCAGATTCTAACTAGTCCAACTAACCCAGCACTTTAACCACACTGCACAGAGCAAGAGCTTATGTCTTCAACGCTCAGACCCGTTTTCAATCAATTTCCTCCTTCGGGAGCCTGCCAACTTTAACAACAGAATAACGACATAATATCAACACGCAATGGTACATACTCGCCACGTAGTCTGAATCACAGCACATACATTAGGTCAAACAGATTTTCGACAGTCTGAATCAGAGCCCAGAAACCACGAAGGTTGTGTCTGTCCTTGGTGCTGAAATGCAGTTTTTCTGCGCCCTCAATGAAAAACTGTCATCCTAATCCCAATCTGAGAGGCTAAAAAGACTAGTTAATTTGGGGAGTCTGACGATGGGAGGTTTAAGAAAGAAAATGATAAGTTTCTGGAGGAGAATAGTAACTTATGTGTGTGTGTGTTGGGGGAAGGGGGTTGCTAGAAACATCCCGAGGGCATTTCCCCTTCAGTGCCCGGAGACCCAGGAAATCCGGACTGCGGCAAAGATCGGAAATGCCTCGTCGGGGCAGGAGCCGCGACGGGAATGTCGTCCTAGCCCGGGCCAGGGCGGGGAAGGGCGCCACGGTTGTGGACAGCTACTTTCCGCGCCAAGGCGCGAGCCCTGGGGTCCTTTTGTTTCTCGGGTGAGGGGAGGGCGGTGGGCGGAGGGTAACCAACATCTGCATTTATTTGCACAGAGGGGACAACAAAAGACCCTGTCGCCCTGGCAAGTGGCGTCTGCGGAGCCAGAGTAGCCCCGGCGCCTCGAGGCGGACTCGGTCCCTTCCCTTGCGGTCCCGGCCGCTCTTACCGTCCCGGTCGCACAGCTGAATGGCCTCCAGGCTGAGGTTTTTGATCACCTCCTCACAGGGGCTGGTGGGGCTGTTGAGGGCATGATCCAGGCGCGGTACCTCCATTTTTCCAACCCCCTTCTCAAGCCCGCCTGCTTCGTATCCAGGCTCTCTTTGCCGGCCCGGTGGGCAAGAAGGGCGGGAAAGGGAGGGGGAGTGGCAGAGGGAGGGAAGGAGGTCTGGGACGCGGTGATGCAGCGCCGGGGCTGAGGCACCGGTATGGAGAGCCGCCGCAAAGGCGACGGCTGTGGCAGGAGCTCCGAGGAGTGTGCAGCTCTGAGAGACCGAGCAGGAAACGGCGAGAAGACTGGAGGCGCGCGCTCCCGGCGGGGAGGGGACGCAGCGCGCGGGGAACGTGAGGAAGAGAGCACGACGCGCGCACGCGCGCGGGAGGACGCGCCCACCTGCTGGCGCGCGGCGGTCCCTCCCCCGCCCTTCTGCGCGCACGCGCCCCCACCTGCCCTCAAGCCATGGCCGAGGCAACCTCGCGCGTGACGTGGCGGGCGACCGAGCGCGTGAGAACTGCGGGAGCTGTACGCAGCGCGGCTGCCTAGCCCTCTTTCCTGGTGGTGGCGACTTAACGTCTTCTGTCTGTTCTCGGTGTCTGGCTAAGCCCGAGTTGGCCCTGAGGGGCCTGCAAGAGGAGGCGAGGGCGAGCAGGTTAGTTGTTTTTCAAGAACAGGAAAATAAGGGCCCAGACTCTTTGGACTCTTTGTATGGCATTGGGGTGTGGGACCCACCTTCTCCCCTGATAATCCTGGGCTACTTGCTGCCCGCACCCTGTGGGCTCTGCCAGACATTACTCGGAAACAGCTGCATCTGTGGGAGAAATCAGCGGATTACCTGAGGCGTGGAGGGGTTTAGAGACAGCCTTTTGCCGTCCTTCGACCCTGAAGCGGGGCAAACGTGGGAACTCCTTACTGCCAGAAAGGTGAGGGAATGAGGAGGTGCAGCAAGCCTGCTGAAAAGGCGGCAGACATGCTGCGGGGCCAACAGCCACGGGACCAATAGCTACGTAGCTGCCTTCACCCTGTAGCTTCATTCATTCATGCGTTTAAGCAAATAAGTATTCAGTGCTCACCCTGTGCCATTGTTCTGGGCGCTAATGAAGGGAGGATAAACAGCACCAACTCCCATGGATTTGGAAGGAATCTTTGCTACAATAGATAATGAAGATTGACTTGTGCTTCCTCAGTTACCCTAAACTTGTATCCCCACTGCTTTTAAGTGCATTTAAGATTTTGCAGTGCGCTTAGTGGATGTGCAGACGTTTTAAAAATAAAATAGAGGTCACAGCCTATTGACCTCTGTTCCCATTTGCTTCTTTGGAATAGTTTTTAGTTTTGTTGCTATCTCGGGATCAAAAAATAGTGTTCCCCTTTTCTCAATGTGCTTGTAAATTAATGTAAGTTCCCTTTTATTGATTTTCCAGTTTCAAACATAAATGTTAATCAAGAAGTAACAGCTTACACTTACATGGCTGTATGCTACCCTTTCTAGTTGCATCCATTTAGCCATAACATGATGAGGTCTGGTTAATTGAGGCTTCAATAAATGAAAGGACCAGCTTAAAGTAAAATAAGCCTGTGAAAAATTTTGACATAACTGAAGTTTCATAATTTGGTGAAAGATAATTAGGTATCCTAAAGTGAAAAGTCTTCATTATGAATTTAGGTATTAATGAAGATGGATGTTTTTGAAATTTGAAAGAATTCTTGTTTAAAGGTAAGGGTGTCCCCAAGGAGAGGGTAAATTATTACCTGTCAAGGGATATGACAAGAGATTGCTTGTGAATTTTCTGTGTTCAAAAGTCCGGCTCTATATAGGACTAGAAATTGATATTGTAAGCCCAACAGTGCGTTCATCTTTCAGAGTAGTCTCAAATTTCTAAATATCAAAAAAGAAACTGTGTAAACTAGAACAACAATTTACTGATTTAAAAGTAAGAAATATGCATTTAATTAAAGCTCATACAAATATTTATTAAGTACCTATATCTGTGTTGGAAATTTGGAGTTCAAATTTATCAAGAAAGATAGATATTGAAAAGTAAAAGTAGGATAGGAGTTAAGAAAGAGGAAGTATGCAAGCTTGTAGAAACACTCACAGGGTTTATAACTTAGACTCAATGGTCAGGAAGACCTCTAAAATGATTTTATCTTCAGGGAATGAGAAGTTATTAAAAGACTTTAAATAGGAAATTAGCATGATCAGATTTGTCAGCTAGAATATTTGTGTAATCAGAAAGGGTAATGTTTTGAGAAGTATTAATGTCACTTTCTGGGTATACAACCTATTCAATCCAAGGCACCTTTCTTTTGAGTATTTGGATTCTTGTAGAAAAAAATACAAAAGAAATATTTACCATTTAACTTTCAATATTCAATATAGGATTTTTTAATCAAGTTGTTAGGCTTCAAATCCGGGCATTGTCAAGAAGTAAAATGCAAATTTGGTTATGGTTCAACATATCAAGGCTAGGCCAGGTGGACCAAATGATAGAGTTTCTCCCATAGTGAAGACAAGATATCTTAGTCCACTGTAAAGGGTTTGGCCAGAGATTGATACAAGGAAGGTGGTGGCTATGAAGTAAAGTCAAGTCGAAGAAAATCCTATTCTCTTTGGCTCAGAGAATTATGGGAAAGGGGTAGAAGAGCTCAAGAAAGGCAACCAGAAACATTTTTACTCATTCCCACCCTGAAGATGTAGAGTAAGAGGTTGTGGCTTTAGAAATACCCAGATTGGTGTGGGAAAACTCAAGGACAGAGAAATTACTTTCCCAGTTCTCAGATATCTGGGAAGGTGTCAGACTGAGCAGAAACCACATTCCAGTAACTTTGAACAGGGCAGAGACAGGGTAAGTGTTGACTTTTCAGAGTGCTCTAAGTTCCTATGTACTATTGAAATTCAGAAAACAATACATGCTCCTCACAAAAAAGGCCTCAGAAGTAAAAGTTTTTCCTCTCACCTTCTGACCTCCAGCTTCTCAGTCTCATTTTCCCCTGAGGCTAGCTATAAGAAACTAGAATCCCTATTCCCCAAGGTGGGTTATAGAAACTACAACTCCTTTTCTTCAAAGCCAGCCGGAAAATACAAAAATATTACTCTAACTTTTCTTCTGCTTTTTTGTGTAAAAACTGGCCATAAAGAAATTATCTTACCTACCTTGTTTAACCGAAGGTCATAAGATCCTCATTCCAGAGAGGTCCCTGCCACACATAGTGAAAAGGAAGAAGTGCATGCTCAGAGAGGTCAAGAAGAATATAGACAGGCAGGCCTTTCTGGGTTTCCCCACTCAATCTATTAGTATGAGATCATATCTCTTTTGTCCAGTCATATTTCTTCATGGCTATTCATACTTTGTTGAACCTAAGTATTAAAATGGACAACTTTCCCTGTATCTTTGGGTTTTCATTCTGAAGACTCCCCTGTGTTGAAAATGTGGTGTTCAAATTTCACATAAAACTATGATCAAAGAAATTTGTATACCTTTTCTCCTGTTAATCTGCCTGTTTCAGTGATTTTTAGCTAAACTTCGGAGGGCTAAGGGGAAGTGTTCCCTTGGCTCCAGCAGTACTCAGAAGGTGGGTGAGTTGACAGCTATCCAATCTTCCCTGAAATTTTGTGTTAAAAGAATAAGGTACCCTTTTAGTTTAGCAAAGACTATGGAGTAGACTTTCTAGACCAGGGATGTCTAAAGTACCAAAGAGATGAGACACATTAGTCAGAGATGGCCACTAGGCCCTGACCAAACTAAGAAAGGACAGACCATGAGTTTCTCTAGCTACCAACTTCAAGTGAAAGACCAGAAGCAACTAGACATACAAGGAATGTCACCTCAGAGACCAGAGGAGGCAGAAGGAACTGTTCAAACCTAATCACCCTTTGTTCCAATGCCTCAAAGTAATGGTATCTGGGGCTATCTGATATTCCCAGATACTACCTAAAATAGGATGTAGGGGAAAAGATAGAAATCTTAGAAACTTTGAGGGTCTTAACCTAATGGACCTGAATTTTAAGGAACTGCTTAAAATACTGAATGAATTCAGGTGTCTGGGTTAGAATATATTATTTCCCCTCCCCTAATTTGTCAGTGACTGAGATTTCATGAAGATGATCAAATCAGTTTAAACAAAATGAAAATTCTACTGTTTTTGATACCTAATCGTTAGCTTGAGATACCTGCCATTACAATCAAAATCCTGTAAGTCATTGAAGCCCCAACTCATATGTTACATTCTCTTGAAATGATTCCCTCTGTCAAAAACCTTTATGTTGTATTTCTATGAGGCTTTATTTATAGTTCTCTTACAGACATCACGTTATGATTTATAAATTATTAATGTACATGAAGAATCAGACTCATATTTTAGGACCTTAAATATATCTAATCTAATACCTTATCCAGTGGCAAAGCCCTTGACGAGAAGTTAATTATCTCCTAATAAATATTAAATTAAAAGCCTCATGAAGAAATCCAAAGTCTTCCTCATTTTGAGCCCAAGCATGTCTCCTATAAGAGCACTACAAAGCCCTTAATTTGTTCATAATGCAAAATAATAATCCTTCCTATTATCCATATATATTCAATTATCTGCCTAAATACTCTTAGTTCTTGCAAACGTTTGTGATATCCCATTGTTTTGAGTCCCTTTGTCACTCTGCACACTCTCTTCTAGATAGCTCCAATTTTTCTGAGTCCATAGATACACGAGGTGTGGAAATGTAATAAGAATATAAAAGAAAATACAGCGGACTAACACCATCTTTGTTGTATGTGCCAGACATCTTGTAATGCAGCCCAGGAGCACATTAGTTTTTTTTGACAGTAATATCGCTCTGCTCACACATTCTGAGCTTGCAAACACATAAAAATCCTATACCTCTTCCATAAACATTTCTTATTTCTCTGTGATATTGTAAACTTTAAGCACATATTACAGTATTTGCAAAGAGAAGATGCTTAGGAAAATTTGCTGAATTATTTTAGCGAACTTCAATACTTTGAATGTATTTAGTTATATTGTTAGTTATATTGCTTCAGCTGGCCTAGGATTTTATCAAAGTAGGCTACATAGTCCTTTTGGTAAACTAGTGTATAGGTCCATCTTATTCATATAAATGGCCCAGAACTCCAAGCACAACCAAGTATTTTATGACTAAGCAGAGGGTGCCAAGAATCAAAACCAGATAGAAACAAACTCCACAAAATGCATAATAAATGAGTGCTTATTTCCTCTCATAACACTATGGAAAGTTTTCCTAAGCCCTATTATAAATGGCAGGGCAAAGGAAACCTCATAATTGACAAACACATTTGAAAGCAATTCAGATATTCTAAATTGTTTGTCTTGACTCAAGTAGTATTGAGACTTGTGATGATCAAG